CGCTTTCGCGTTGCCAGGAGCAATTGCGGCACAGGCATGTTCGGTGTGTGTGCGGAAACCGTTTTGGACGTACAGGTTACCGCATCGGGGGAAGTACACCACCCCCGCCCCCCTTCTCTCCAACTCAAACTCGTGTTTATTGAGGGTTTTGGTTTCGAACCCGTCATCGAAGAGGGAAGTGAGAGATACTAGGTTGTAGTCTAGTCGGGGGACGTGTGCAACCCGTTTCAACAACAGGTCGGTTGTACCGTCGCGCGAGCTAAGGGTTGTCTCTTATACACATCTAGATGTGTATAAGAGACAGNNTACCCCGCCTAGCCTGCTCTACACCCCCTCGACCAACGACTTTGTGACACTCGCCTGAGATGTCACCGACAACCAGCGCTTCTTCGGCCACGTCCAGTGCTGTGGCGTCCGCAGACGCTCCCCCCGCCGGCACTTCCACCACGAGCACCGCCTCTTCGGTCGGGCACTTGCTCTTGTCGTGCCCGCCACCCTTGCATGTCTCACATCGCACGGGCTTGCTCTCGGGGCAGTTGGCCACCTGGTGGCCCTTCTTACCGCACCGGAAACAGCGACCGCGCATGCTACCCGTATCGTCGTCACCGCCTCCGCCGCCGCCACCAGCCTTCGCGCCACCCCCTCTCCCCTTCTGGTTGCCGCCGCCGCCGCCGCGACCCTTGCGGCGGCCGCTGTTGCCGCGGCCCGGGGCTCCTCCCCCGCCGCTACCGTCGCTCGCGAGGAGAGCATGCTCCGCCCTACGCTGGCTGGTCGAGGCCTTCCTCCCCTCCGGGAGGCTCGCGTGCACCGTGCTCACGATCCTGACGATCTCGGCCCTATCCGGCGCCGTTGCTGTCTCCAACAAGAACTTCGCAGGAAGGCTTAACCCCGTCGCTTCCCCGTAGTCCGGTCCAATGCCCGGGTCCACTCCGGCTGGTCCAACAGGGTTTGCTCCCGACCTGCTGGCTCAGCCGCCTTCCAGCACCGGCCGTGGTCCTTGCCCATCTCTCGTTTGCTGTTGGAGAAATCCCCCGCCACCGCCGAGCGGCAGCGTGGGCTCTTCTCGTTGGCCTCTGGGGGCAGCAACCCAGCCACCCCTACTGGCTGTCTCCGCCACGACGCTGCCAGGCTCCTTCTTCTTCACCGACTCCTCCACCAGGGCCGCCAATTGCGAAATCTGCCGTTGCAAACTTGCAAGCTCCGCGTCGCGGCCTTCCTTTACCGGCGGGCGGATCTGTTCTCCGCTCGCAGCAGCGCGCTCTTTGTCTCCAGCAGAGCTCATCCCGATATGGCGTCCCTCGAGGAGCAAACTCTAGGGTGTTTGCGGCCTACGCCACATATTTATCAGGTGATGTATTCACTTCACGAGAGGTAGACGACCGTCCGNCCCGACCTGCTGGCTCAGCCGCCTTCCAGCACCGGCCGTGGTCCTTGCCCATCTCTCGTTTGCTGTTGGAGAAATCCCCCGCCACCGCCGAGCGGCAGCGTGGGCTCTTCTCGTTGGCCTCTGGGGGCAGCAACCCAGCCACCCCTACTGGCTGTCTCCGCCACGACGCTGCCAGGCTCCTTCTTCTTCACCGACTCCTCCACCAGGGCCGCCAATTGCGAAATCTGCCGTTGCAAACTTGCAAGCTCCGCGTCGCGGCCTTCCTTTACCGGCGGGCGGATCTGTTCTCCGCTCGCAGCAGCGCGCTCTTTGTCTCCAGCAGAGCTCATCCCGATATGGCGTCCCTCGAGGAGCAAACTCTAGGGTGTTTGCGGCCTACGCCACATATTTATCAGGTGATGTATTCACTTCACGAGAGGTAGACGACCGTCCGTCACACGGACGAAAGAGGGAGTGCTCAGAGAGCGGCTCCCACAGCAAGGAGGGGCCCCGGGAACCATTGCGGTGCCCCCGACCAAACGGAAATCTTACCAGTCTGCGTGACACAAAATCATCCAGCACATGCATCCAGCACCAATGTTCGCAGACCCACGGACGTGTTGGTGCACAGTTGAATGAAAGACCGCCCCGGATACCGGATGAACGCGGAGGAGCACTTACCCGCCGTCGTCGGATCATGGATCGTGGATCGTTCCGAACTTCTTTCAAGCTGT